GGGCTGGGAATGCCAGATCCACCAGCTGAGGAAACCAGTAGTGGACTGGTTATAAGCTGGGCAGTGAAATGGTCAAATTGTGCTTCTCAGTGTTCACCCTAGATCTTCAGGGCCTGGAGACAGGGAGACAAGCGCCATAGGCACCCAGGTAGAAGCGTACTGGGTTTAGAGCTGAACAGGGGCAGAAAGGATGCTGGGAAAGGGACTGACTTACGAACTACAGAGAAAGGAACACTGGCAGGACCTGGGGAGTCTTTTCTAATAGAGTATCAGTTAACAGGCAGAAGTCACACTTCCATAATTTCACCCAACCCCAAACCTTTAGATTAAAGTATAATAAGCTAATTGACCTCTTGCTGGAAATGTATCTATCGAAAACATGAGCAATTTATGCTACATGGTAAATTTCCACCAGAGGTGTCTGGAAAGAAGGAATCACTGGCATTTAGACACCTGAGCAACAGAGTAAGAACACAGAATAAGGAAAGTCTTATCAAACACCTTATCAGCTACAGGCACCTCAAGGCTCACCTTAGGTAAGGGAGAAAGGGGGGTCAAATGACCTCAACTTCAACCTACAGGGCATTAGTCCTGGGGTGCAGAGGCAATCAGAGGTGGGTAGGTTACCCTTGAAAATTCAATCATGTGGAGGGGTGAGCCACAGGGGCACACTGCCTTCGTAAATATGTCAGCAGAGAGAAAATTAAATATCAGTATGATTAAAAGAAAATGCTAAGTCTAATGTTCCAATTAGTTCCAATGATTTTGCTTGGGCTGTTAACTTTGTTTGGAAATGAAGGCATGAGAGGAGCCTGGGCTGCCCGAGGGGAACCACGTGCTCCGCAGTCCGTGAGGATGGAGCCCCAGCTCGGCCATGTCTCGGCTCAGCGCTGGCCTTGGCAGCGGAGGAGGTAGAAGGGGCTCAGTGGGTGGTGGTGATCATTCTTACAACTGTGATGGAACTGATATTTGAAGGTAAGATCATCATTGTGAAAATTTTATTTTTATTTACTTTTATCCTCACCCGAGGACATACTTTGATATTTTGTTCAGATAGAGTGGGAGGGAGAGAGAGAGAGAGAGAGAAATATCGACGTGAAAGGGACACATCGAGTAGTTGCCACCCGCACAACCCAACCAGGGCCGGGGACAAACTGCAACTGAGATACGTGCCCTTCGCGGGAACTGAACCCGGGTCTCTCTGGACCACAGGCGGACGCTCTAACCGCTGAGCCAAACCGGCCAGGGCGTGAACATTTTTTTTTAATTGGGCATCCTTTGAGCAGAGTTGTCTGCAGTGTTGTGGGACCAAGTGCAATACAGTGGGGTGTCCAATGTGCCCACGCTCTGGGCAGGCACCGACATTCCACCTGCTTCTGAATACTGACATGGGAATCTGCATATGTAAAAATGTTTATATTTAAGTTTTTTTTCCCGAAGTGAAACACAGAAGATGGAATGTAACACAGCAGAAACAAACTGGTTGCACAAATGTCAGAAGAGGAGACGTCTGAGCTTCTGTGCTATAATTTATCTTCTTGAGAGGGTATGCTGAAAAACCAGGTTCCCCTGGTCAATTCAGGAGAGTAGCTGCTCTAAAGCTGCTCTTATCACAAGATGGGACATCTTAAGCAAAGGGGGACACTCCTGCTAGAAGAAACACTCCCAGATTCACACTGCAAATAGGACAGAGATGACTGAAAGGAGGCTGCCTTTGAACATAACCTGCCAGCACTGACCAGTTGGTACTGACTGGTCAGGGCTGGGACTTCCCAATGGAGCCAGCAGCCCACCTTTGTCTAAAGCCCTACTGATTTAAAACTGAGACGGTTTAAAAACATTTATTAATTCATTAAAGATAATAAACCCACCCTGGCTGGTGTGGCTTAGTGGTTGGGGCGTTGGCCTGTGCATTGGAGGGTCATGGATTGGATTCCCAGACAAGGGCACGTACCTGGGTTTCAGGTTTGATTCCCAGCCTGGTTGGGCGCACAAAGGAGGCAACCAATCAATGTGTCTCTTTCACAATAATGTTTTTTCTCTCCTCTCTCCCTTCCCCTACTCTCTCTCTTCCACTCTCTCAGTGGGGGAAAATATCCTTGGGTAAGGATTAACAACAAAATGTAATAAACCCACTATGAGTTAATATAAAAATGTATTTTTAATGGAAAAACCCTTCTATTTCCCCTAAGTTTAATGAGAAGGGTGGCATTATTTTATATTTTTGAAACATCATCAATACTTGGTTTAACAGAAAACAGCTAGATTATCCTATCTGCTTCTGCTTTTGACCTTTTGTGATATATTGTTTTGGCTGAAGCATATGAAGAAATACCAGCCTCAGAGAGATAAGTTTAGAAAAGGGAGGTATACTTTCAACTCTTCTTTGCAAACATTCCTCTTTGATACCATACTAAACTTGATAAATGGTAGTTTCTTAAAGATTATTTGTAATGTGGAATCTAAAACCACATTAATAAACTTATATCCTGTTACATTAAAATTCATTGGTCTGTTTTGCACTTTGAATGCATCTTTTACACTTACATGATTTTGTAACATCATGTGGTAGTCTGGAAAATATTGGTTCACTGAGTTATACAGGTCTTCCAAATATTGGCACATTTCATTATACAATATGAAAAAATTCACATTCATTGATATCACCATCAGAAAAGTAAGCAATGAGAAACCAACCTCACATCAGAAAAGTAAGCAAGGAGAAACCAACCTACAGTGCTACATACAAGTTTCCTAAAATTCTAACTGTCACCTGAAAGCTTGGATTTTATCACTGGCACCAAATTGACAGACTCACTTCCTTCAAGAAAATGTCTGCTAAATACTCAGATTTGAACAACCATAGCCTGTAAGTTGTTCTTTCAAGGAGAGATGTTGTTCCATAAAATAAATGGCTAGTTTAGCTTGCAACTCCAACAATTATACAAGCTTTTCCATGGACAAGTTTTCTATTCCCATACGCAGCAGAAGTGCTTATGGTATATCATGATTTCCTCAGGGTTGCAAAATACTATGTGTTGCCACAAAATAGCTGCATATTGCCATACTACTGTGCTGAGTTCTGGACTGCTTTCTAATGGTTGTTTCATTTTTGGTCAATTTTGTCAGTTTCCCCTTCCCACTGTCTATTAAGTTCTGTCATTCTTCCTCCTCTCTTCTAATTTTATGCATTTAATACCCTTCAGAAGAAAACCAAACTACCAAGCATGGCTGAAAATTTGTTAAAAGCCTTTATAGACTCTGAGTCAGAGACAGGGCTACTCTTCCATAAAAAAAAAAAAAGCAGTTTAAGTGCCTTGACTTTATGTCAGTGGCAGAGAGAAGAATGTAAAGCTCTACTGTCATATATAACTTTGGATAAGTTATGTAACTTCTTTGAGTCCTGATTCCTTGTTTATAAAATGGGAATAATATCTGCCTCATGGAGCTACTGCTAGAATAAAATCAACAATCCTAGAATTCTATAACAAATGTATATAATACCCCATAGAGTTGTTGCAAGAAGCAGTGTACATAGTACTTGGGACACTGCTGAGCACATGTAGGCTCCTTTTATCTTTTACCTCCATTCTCTGAGACAAGCACACTTCTCCAGTAAATGGACAGATAGTATTTTAGCCTTTGCAAGCCAACAGGCAAAATTAAAGATATTTTATAGATACTTAATATAGCTAGAGAGAAAACAAAATTCCATATTTTTTAATTAACAAATTTAAAATGTTATAATCAAATGTATTTTGGGGAGTAACATAGGTCTACTAATGAGAAGGATAGAATTTTCTTTGTAGGGGAAGAGATATTTCACTAAAATGGAATTCAAAATTGGTGTTCTCTATCATCAAATCAATTGTAAGTTTTCACCTGTAAAAAAATCATTCTTAGCCCTGGGTGGTTTTTCTCAGTGGTTAGAGTGTTGGCCCACGAACCAGAGTCCCAGGTTTGGTTCCTGCTAAGGGCATGTACCTTGGTTACAGTTTGTCCCCGGCCCGGTGGGGTTGTGTGGGTGGCAACCACTCGATGTGTCTCTCTCACATCAATGTTGCTCTCTCTCTCTTCCCCCCTCTCCCCCTCCCACTTTATCTGAAGATAAATGCAAAAATATCCTCAGGTAAGGATAAAAAACAAAAACAAAAACAAAAACATTCTTAGCTCACAGGCCATACAAAAACAGGTGGTGGGCTAGATTGAGCCTATAAACCAGAGTTTGCCAGTCCCTGCAGAAGAAGCCCTCTCTTGCTTATTTCCTTTTTCTTGATTCATTCCATACAGTTGCCAATGGTGACATTTTGAGTGCTCTTAATTTCTTTGTGTAGATCTGCATTTCTATCTGGTATTTCCCCCCCACACCCAGTCTTTTAAACATTTATTGTAGTAAAGGTTTAATGGCAATAAATTCTTTCATTTTTTGAATGTCTGAAAATGTATTTATTTCACAAGGATGTTTTCACTGAATATAAAATTTTAGGTTGACAGATTTTCTTCTAAGCATTTTAGAGATGTCACTCCATTGTCTTGTGGATTGCATTATTTCTGATGAGAAGTCAGCAATCATTCTTATCTTGGTTTCTTTGGCCACTTTTAAGATTTTTCTCTTTATTATTTGTTTTCAGCAATTTGATTACAAGGTGCCTTGATGTGGTTTTCTCTGTATTTATCCTGTTTAGCCTTCACTGGGCTTCCAAGATTAGCGAACCGATATTTTTAATCAAATCTGGAAAAGTTTTCTCTTCCATCCCTGAGACTCCAATTACATATATGTTAGAACAGCTGATGTTATTTCACAGTCTCCGTTCTTTTCACCCATTTTTTTCTCTGTGTGCTTCAGTATGAATAGTTTCTATTGTTCTGTCTTAAAATTCACAGATTGTGTAGGCAGATTCTGAAATGGCTCCCAATGACTTCACCTCCTGCTTTTCACACCCTTGTGTAATCTTGTTTGTGGGCTAGACCTAGACTTGCTTCTTTCTTTCTTTCTTTTTCTGTGTGGGATGGTTGATCATGAGCCTGCAAGGAGCAAGTTGGCCCTGGACTTCTCTCCAAGTCCACATTTCTTTGCCTCCAATTCGTACAAGTCCAAAGACAGGGAACCACAGACATGCCTCTGTAGGAGGGTTAGAGACTTACTTAGGAAGAATAAGATACAGCAGAAGTGTTGGGATGTTACTTATGAGCCTAGGTTACAAACAATTGTGACTTCTTCCTTGCCAGTAGTCTCTTGTTCTTGGCTACTTTGGTGAAGTCAGCTGTTTGCCACCTTATGAACTTCCCTATAGAAGGGCCCATGTGATAAAGAACTAAGGATGTTCACAGGAAAATAAACTCTGTCAGCAACCACTCAGTGAGCTTGGAAGCGGATCCTGCCCTAACTGAACCTTGAGATGACTGTGGCCCTGGATGACAACTTGATTGCAGTCTTGTGAGAGACCCTGTATTAGAGGACCCAGTGAGGCTGTGCTGGATTCCTGACCACAAAACTGTGAGATAATAATTGTTATTGTTGTTTTAAGCCACAAATTTTTGGAGCAATTTATTATGCCATAACAGATAACTCACTGACCTATTAAAATAATATTCCTAATATGCTCCCATCAGTGAGCTTTTTTATTCAGGTATTGTATTTCTCAGCCCTAGAATTTCCATTTGGTTCTTTTTTAATAGTTTCCATTTTTCTTATTTTTGAGTTGTTTTTCTTTAAATCTTTGAACATATTTATAAATCACTAATTTAAAGTACATTAGGTCATTGAATACATCGTTTTATTCAACACTGTTTCATTAACACTGATGAGAAAAAGACAGTGATTCCCATCTGGGGACACTGTCTGTGTGGAGTGTGCATGTTCTCCCCATGTCTGCACAGGTTTTCTCCAGGTACACTGCTTTCCTCCCACATCTGAAAGATGTGTACATTAGATTAATTAGTATATCTAAATTGTCTCAGCAATGGGGTGTGTGAGTGTGCCCTGCAACAGAAGGGCATCCTGTCCAGGGTTGGTTTGGGCCTTGAGCCCTGAGCTGTCAGGATAGGATCTGGCTACCTGAGTGCCTGAACTGAAATAAATAGATTGGAAAATAATTACCTTTTTATTAAAATTTCTTAGATGTATGTAAAATTCACATTTACTTCAATGTTTAAAATTAAAACTGTTTTGGGTCTTTATTAAAAGTTTGGTTATGTTTTTGTAACCAGAAATATGCTACAGGAACTTAAAGCTTGTTTATATCAATTAGTCTATAGTAAAACTAGCTTCATTATGTATCATTTTGCTTAAAGTTGTAGTTTCCAAGAACCTACTGACAACATTAATTGAAGACTTACTGTACTTACCTGCTAATTCTATCATCTCTGTTATTTCTGGCTCTTTCTATTGATTGATTTTTTTTCCTGGTTACAGAACACATTTTCCTGTTTGTCTAGTAATTTTTGATTGAATGCTGGATACTATAAACATTACATTGTGGGGTGTCTGCATTTTGTTGTCATCCTTTAAAGAATATTGGGCTTTGCCCAGCCAGTGTGGCTCAGTGATTGAGCACTGACCCATGCACCAAGAGGTCACTGGTTTGATTCCTGGTCAGGGCACATACCCAGGTTGTGGGCCCCATCCCCAGTGTGATGCGTGCAGGAGGCGGCCAATTGATGTTCTCTCTCATTGATATTTCTATCTCTCTCTCCTTCTCCCTTCCTCTCTCTCTTTAAAATCAATAAAAAAAGGGGGAAAAAAATACTGGACTTTGTTCTGGCAGGCAGTTAATTTACTTCTAGATCAGTCTGCTCCTTTCAAGTCTCCCTTGAAAGCTTTATTAGGCAAAGATTACAGCAGTCTCTTAATACAGGGCTAGTTTAGCCATATTCCTAAGATGTGGCCTTTCTGAAGTCACTATTAAATGCCCTGGATGCTCCCCTCTAAGCATGCACAGCTTAGTACACAGCAAAAGATTTAAGGGCCTTTTTTCTGGAGCTCTTTCTCAGTGTAGCTCCCTCTTCTCCATACTTTATTTGGCAAAGGTCTGCTTCCCAGCTCAATGAGACTGCTAGACTCTTCTTGAGAAACTCTGGAATAAAGCTGAAGTGATAGTAGGTCTCACCTCATTTGTTTCCCTTCTCTCAGGGCTCATAGTCTTGTGCTGCCTGTTTTGCAGCATCTGAAAACAGTTTCTTTTATTTTGTGCAGTTTTCCAGTCATTTATGATAGAAAGGCTAATCTGTTAGCAGTTATCCTGTCTCGGAAGTAGCCTATGGGAGTCTTGTAAGCAATATACATTTTGATTTTAATGAAAGAATGGCTACTTTTTCCATGTCTATAAGAATAACTTAAAATCTAAGCACTCCATTTATTTATTATGAAAACACAATTTGGAGCTTGGCAGGAGGCAATGGAAACAGATTTTCCCCATCATTTATCCAGCTGAGATATCTTTCACACAGAGTTTTTCAGTAGAAAACAGTCCCTGCCCTTACCCTTTTGTCAATTAGTATCTCTTCTAACATTAAAATCAAGGCAGAAAGAATTTGAGGAAATGGTAATACAAATCTAGAAAAATGCATATGTATGCAAATTTTCCATTATAACTAGATAACTGTTTTGTTATTATGGGTCCATAGGCCCAGGTCAACAATTAAGGGAAAACTTAATAGCAAAAAGAATGCTTTTCCCAAGGAGGAAAAAAAGTTGATACCCCAAAAATATTTTCTATTTTAACAAATAGCAATATTTCATTCAAGGTAAGTATATTCTTTCTTTTTTATTAATTAAGTACTATGGAAAAACAAAGAAAGTTTACAGGAAATGTAAGAAAATCCACTAGTCAATTTTGATCACAAACACAGATATTCTTACATGTTACGCTGTTAGCAAACATGCCCACAATAACCCCTACAAGCAACTGTTGTACCTGATAATGAATATAGGAGGTGAGATGTTCTTATCATCTGTATGGGGCTCAGAGAAGAATCTCCTGCCTTCTAAATTCAGAGCGTTGACCCTGAACTTTGGTACAGAGACTACACACTGTACCAAAACACCTCTTTCCCAGGAACTATGGAGACAAGCACACTGGTCCCATCTATCATATGCTGAGGGTAAATAGCCAGAGTAGGTTAAGAACAGAATGCTGGGTTTGCCTTTCCACCACAACCTTGAGAAGTTCTCCACAGTGCCTCCACATTTCTTTGAATGCCTCACTTGCTCTTGGCCAATCCCAAACTCCAGAAGCAACTTTTAAATGTTCAAAATGGCCATGGCCAGTTTGGCTCAGCAATTAGAGCATTGGCCTGCGGTCCAGAGAGATGAAGGTTTGGTTCCCGCTAAGGGCATGTACCTTGGTTGCAGTTTGTCCCCGGCCCTGGTTGGTTGTGTGGGTGGCAGCCACTTGAGGTGTCCCTTTCACATCGATGTTTTTCTCTCTTCCTCTCTCTCCCTCCCACTCTACCTGAACAAAAAATGGAAAAATGTCCTCGGGTGAGGATACTAAATAAATAAATAAATAAATAAATAAATAAATGTTCAAAATGCCCAGGCAGAGTTAGAATCATTGGGCACTGACTGTAGTCCATGGACAGAAGCTGCTGAATTTCTGGAGGAAGCAGCTGGGAGCATACATAGGCATGCCCAAAGCAAATGTCAGGTGTCAGTTAATGACCAGGTCATTGACACACATGCTGAGTTGGTTCCCACAGGCTAAGTTTTCAGGGGCCTGGCCAATGTTATCTAGCCCCAGAGAAATGTTCCCTGAAACACAGAGATGGCCTATTTAACAGCAGATTACAGCTTGAGGTTTCTGGAAACCAAACTGAGTCAAAAAACTTAAGAATGCAGCCTGGTGTTAGATGATGCAAGTTGGCTCCATGCTTATAGCTTTTATCCTGTGGCACACTCCAGGTCTTTTCCTTCCATACACTTGGAAAAATTAAGGTGCTCTCCCTGGTTGCCTAAACCCATATCCCAGCAGCTCCCTTGTTTTGGAAGACGATGATAAATAAATCAAAATGCACTAAGCAGCACTTCCACAGGCACTCGCCTCCTTCACTGAACGTGCACCTCATCAATCACACTATTGTCTGCTTGAAAGGCGAGCCTTGTAAATGTCATATCCACTCAGGCCCAAGGAGAGGCGCATCCAAATGCAGCAAGGAGTTTTAATTGGATAGTGTAATTAAACTAAAAAACCCCAGCAGACTCCCTTTGACAGGATAGATGAAGACCCCTTTTAATAGGGCTAGGAAACATATCTGTTAAAAGGATGAGGCACTGCCTGCTCCTGATTGTGCTCCAGAGTACTCTTATGAAAAGGCAATTCAATAACTGGGGCATTTAATATGTTAGAGTCCATTGTGCTCTGTAATCGAGCAGTACTTACCGTATTTGATCTGGAACTTATGAAATAAGTCCTTGTCAGAGAATAAAAACACAACATAGCTTGTCTACCTAATATTATAAGTGTCTGCATGTCCTGGGAATCGACAGAGCCCAAGGATGGGCTGCAGCCTCTCTGGGCTACAGGTCCATGTGAGTATAAATGCATGTGCCCTACTTACTGGGGCCCACAGAACACCGCCATGTGCATGGCCAGCCAGCCAGCCACCCACCCACCTCGGGTGCAGCTCTTTCATTCAGTGGCCAACATCACTCTCATTTCCCTTTTGCATAGTCTCTCAAGAATTTAAAGAATATGACAAAATTCCTGGGTATGTACTCCTTTCCGAACTTGAATACCTGTCACATTAGTGTATGTATGTGTTTTCTCTGCTAGAACTACCCTTGTAAAATAGGGAGGAAAGAAATCAGGCGGTCAGAAGATTCAATGCATGGGCTGGGGTATACCTAAGTCAATTTCAGTAATAAAACAGAGTCTTTCTGCCACTCTTTGTTGAGAGAGAGGGTGGGGGCTGCACACACAGGCACATTCAGATACACACTCTAGAGGCCTGCAGCTCCACAAGCAAGGTGACAGAATTAGTGAGAACACAAGGTTATCATATAAGCAGACCATGACAATCCCTTTCAGATGGCATGCTAGTGTCCCAAGGTCAAGGTTAGAGAACGCAGCATCTGGGTAGATCAAGGGAACCTTTGAGCTGGGGTTCAGGTGGGGTACACAGGCAAGATTTCA